CCCCCCCCCCCCCCCCCCCCTGTGAACGACGACTGCTATACTTTTCACATTTCTGAAAAATAAGTAAACGAACACATGTACGGCGTATGACGCGAACGTTGAGAGGGAAGCAAAACAAAAATCGTCGGCCTATCGATGTCCATACGGGGAGTGGAACAGCTACCAACAAAACGCACACCTTCCCCTTTGCCACGAAGGCGGGAACATTGTCGCTGAACCATTTCCACTTGAGGGCGTCTCCCGAGAGCACGTGCACCACCTGGAACAAGAATACGGCGTCGTCGGCTACGTTAGCATCACATCAGTACAAGCACCATCAGCAGCATCATCATTAGCAGCAGCAAAGCAGAAGCAACATCAGCAGCATCATCATTAGCAGCGGCATCAGCATCAGCAGCAGCAGCAGCAGCAGCAGCAACAACAACAACAGCAGCAGAAGCGAAAACAACATGAGCGAGGCCGAAATCACGAGCGGTGTCAGCGCCCACCGCGCGAGCAGCGCGCTACTCAACACTCGACCACCGGCCAAGCGCCGCCTGCCCGTGGCCGTCATCACGAACGCCACATCGAAACCACAAATGGAAAATCCAAAACGAACGGACACGTGAACCGCAGAACGCCGGACGCCCGGTGCAGGCAGGAAAAACAAAAAATAACCGGGGGCGTGAAGTGTGAAGTGTCTCACCTGGTGGATGTCTTCGTTGGCCGTGAGGTTGAAACCGCCGATGTGGACGTGTACGGGGTCGTCGAGGATGTCACTCGCCAGTTGCTGTGCATGCAGCACCGAGAGATGGGCGGCAAGGCCCCAGAGACACAACACGGAAGGCGCCATGTGTGTGGAACGAACCAGGGGAAACACAATCAGACATCGCCGCTAAATAAGAACTGGTTGAGATATAGGGCAGATCGAGAGACAGAGATACATAGATAGATAGATACAGAGAGAGAGGGACTAGTTTCCCACCCACCCCGCCTTTGCTCAAGAAAATGGGCAGCGGGTGGCACCACCGCCCCCCTCGCAAACTCCAAGCAGAAAGATGAGTCCCGGGATTAGCGACCGGATAAAACAACACACGCATCGCGACGGACGAAACACCCACCCCCCTTCCAACTCAACGGAGGGGCCCCGCTGGCGGCACGCGGCGAGCTTCAAAGGTCGGACAAGAAAAGGGTCGAATAAAAACATGTCGTACAGTGTCCCCCCACCTGAACCCGTCTCTTGAAGGTGGCGCTAAACATGAGCGTCTGCCTGTCGGGCCTTGTCTGCGCCACGATGGACCGCATCTGGTACTCGAAGCCCATGTCGAACATACGGTCGGCCTCGTCCAAAATCTGCAAAAAAAAAAAAGAGTTCAAAACAACATTATTTGCGAAGTGTTCCCTTGCACACCAACAAAAGACGTGGAGATGGCGCCATTGCTTCATTGTCATGTACGTTTCGCCCTCTTTGCCACCATACTCGGTTTTTCGTTCACTTCCCGCTTCCCACTCTCGCTCACCATCATGGTGCACCTCCGCATGTTGGTGGACTTGAGCTTGATCATCTCGATCATGCGGCCAGGGGTGGCCACGACGATCTCGGGCCCTTCCTTGAGGGCCTTCTGCATCTCCCACTTACCAGCACCGCCGTAGACGGCGCACACCTTGCACCCGTACCTGTCGCCGGCGGACGGGGAGGGGCCAAGACATGAGAAACCGAAAACTTTCGTGAGTTGCCTTTTGTGGGTCCCATCTGATATGGTTGTTGTCGCGAACCCAAGCGACAAAAGAACGTTTCCTGCGCCTAGATACTGTGCTTCGTAAAAAAAACGGCTGTGACCACGGAAATGATCACGCAATTTCATATTTTTTGTATTGGTTTGAAGAGTAGAGACGAAGAGGTGCACTTGGTGAAGCCACCAACGAGACAAGAATCACATGCAGTATTTATAGGAATTTCAGAAGTAGGACGTACCGCTCTTTGGGGGAACCTAACGCTTCGTTGCGCGGTCGGAGGAACACCAACCAGCTTTGAAAGCCACATGTACCGCACTTTGGGATACAAATACCGCGCACGACAGCAGCCCAGCCCAGCCTGGCTGCTGCTGGCTGCAACACCGCAGCCGCGCCCCAACCGAGCAAGGTTGTAGAGGAAGCTACGGCAGGTGGCATAACATATCACGCCGCCTGGGCCGATTTCCAAAGCTCGATTTTTATTTCTCCACAGCAGAAAGAGCGGCGGTGCCGAAAATGTCGAGAGCTTTCCCAAAAACGTCCCTATGCATCCTCGTCGTTTGTCGGGCAATCAAGCTTGGAAAAATCGGACCAGGGGGTGTGGTATCTTGGGGAAAACGTGGAGGTCTTTGCTGTGTGCGTGTGAATAAGAGATCCATCTGTGTGTGTTGGCGCCTGGAGAAGACGGCCATCGCCTACCAATGCCCCCGAAACGCGATAGTCGCCTCTGGTGAGGGCCATGTCCCAGAAAAAAGGAGGAGACCGTCCCCACCGTTAATGCGACCCCAAGCCGCGACGAATTTTTTTTTTTTGACCGCCTGGAGTAGAGGGAGGACCCCTTGTTCAGGACCACCTCGCCGAGGGACCATGACTGCGTGGCAAGCGTGTCTTTTTGTTGTGTACGACGCGAAGTAAACGCACGTGATGTTCTAAGCAACCAAAACACGCACACACACAAGGATACACGCACGCTGCCGGGGGGGGGGGGGCAATAAAAGGGGTATTTTGCATTGGTCAACCAGATAGACAGCTCGACGCCAATCCGAGGACACACACACAAGCGTGCGCCCTCCAAAAAAAAACCAAGTAACCTTTGTATATCTCCCATGGCTGCAATCCTCCAGCAAACGTGGGGGAACACACACGAGTCCCCGCCAAAACCAAAACCAACCTCTTGGCGAACTTGTTGGCCTCCGAGTATATCTGACCGGCGAGCTCCCTTGTTGGCGCCAGGATGACCACGATTGGGCCTTCCTGACCCCTGACGATCTCCCTCTGGTCCATGAGGTGCACTAGGGACGGCCACACGAACGCCAGGGTCTTGCCCGACCCGGTCTGCGCCACGCCGATCATGTCTCTCCCCTGGACACGCGAAGGGCGGGGGGGGGGGGGGGGGGGGGGGGTGGAAAAAATTTGGGTAAAAAAAATTTGTTTTTAAAAAAAAAAAAAAAAAATGATTGGGTAAAAAAAACGTTTAAAAATGGGGGGGAAAAAACCAAAAAAAAAAAAAAAAGGGGGGAAAAGGGTCGGGACTTCCGGGCCCCCGGGCCAAAGGAA